TTTTTTTTTTTTTCCCCTTTAAGGTCGGAGTATTTTCCAGGCTGGGTTTCCACCGAGGGGGTGCGGACACGCTCAGGCAATACCGCCATGTGTTTACAGCTCAGCTCCCGGCGTTATTTAGGGATTGTAAAACCACAGCAGCTCGCTCGCTCGCTTCCCCCCACCCCGCTCGCCGCAGCCAATTTTTTTCCTCCATGCGGCTCTCGTTGCAGCGGCAAAGGTCAACCCCGCTCCTTTGAAAGCAGCACCCCCCTCCCTTATCAGATTTAGGAATCCTTGGGGGAGGTTGAAGCCGAAATGCAGGCAAAGCCAGCTGGCCGCGCTCCGGCCGGGGGGGCGGTGGGGCTGCAGGGTGGGAAGGAAGGATGGAGGTGGCTGCCGCGGGAGAAGGAGGAGGAGGAGGAGGAGGAGGAGGAGGAGGAGGGCGGTGGGATGAGCCCCCGCGCCCGGGCGGGGCAGCACCGACAGCAGCGAGCGCCTGAATAATGGGGGCGCAGATAATGCAGCTGATTAGCGGCCGCGCCGCGCTCGGGGAGGGCCGGTTTGATGCGAGGAGAAAATCGCTGCGGGGTGAAGTCAGCGCTGCTCCGGCTGGGGAGCCCCACAGCGCAGGGATGGGGGTCCCAGCAGAGGGGTGAGCCCTGCAGAGAAGGGCTGGGGGGCACGGGGATGGGATGGGCGCTAGAGTGATGGGAGAGGGGTGAGCTCCGTGGAAGAGGGATGAGGGCTGTACGGAGGTGAGCCCGTGGAACTGGACTGGGGGGTCACAGGGATGGGCTGAGCCCCGTGGAAGGGAGATGGGGGTCACAGGGATGGGCTGAGCCCCGTGGCAGGGAGATGGGGGTCACAGGGATGGGCTGAGCCCCGTGGCAGGGAGATGGGGGTCACAGGGATGGGCTGAGCCCCGTGGAAGGGAGATGGGGGTCACTGGAAGGGGATAGTGCCCGTGGCAAATGTCTGGGGTCTCTGGCAGGGCCCGGGAGTGAACGGGATATTATCCTCTGAGATAATCTGCTCTGGGAGGCACTCCCAGCCCTCTGCCCCACCCAAACTGGGCAGCCATGGGGAACCTCAGCGAGGCTGAGCATGGGAAGAGCTCTAAGGGGTCATGGCCATCGATGGCGTGACCAAGTGATGGCAGAGAGCGGCACTGCGGTCCCTGGGGAGAGGGAAGGAGGCAGGAGGGAGCAGGGGAGAGAGGCAGGACGGAAGCCAGGCGTGGGGCGGAGCTCGGACGCGGGGCAGAGGCTCTGTCAGTGCCCCGGGCAGCCCCGGCCCGGTGCTGGTCTCTCCCCCGAGATGTTCCCTGCTGGTCTTGTCCTGGCCCAGGCACCGCTCACGCCATCAAACTTTGCCAGCGGATGGTTTTTAATTAAAACCAGAAGATGCTGCTCTGCGCCCTGGCCCTTCAGGGATGACCACTGCTCACATCCTCTGCCTTTGGTCTTCCTGACTGCACAGCTTGACACGGGGAGATGAAAGTCCTTCCCTGCCAAAAAAGCACCAGAAAAAAGGGCAATCATAAAGTGACGCCACCAGGATGTCCCCAGCCAAGGGTCCAGCAGGGTCCTGCCGGCAAGGGAACTTGGCCAGAGCCGAGCAGCAGCCTGGGGAGTGGGGCTGTTGCCTTCAGCCCTTCTAAAAATAACAGCTCGGAGCGCAGCGAGCGCCGGGCGCCTAACTGGAACCAGCTTTCCAAACTCCCAGCTGGAAGCAGCTTTAGGAGCCTGCACCAGCCTTTCTGGGAAAGAGCAATTAAAAATAGCGAGCGGCTGAAAGCGCCGTCCCTGCTGCCCGTCCTGCCCCTGCGTGGGGAGGACACGGGGAGCCAGCTTGGGAGGGCAGGTGTTCCCCTTTGCTTAGCTTGGAAAGGCCAGCAGCACCTAGAGATGGAGCTGGAAGGATATCATGGGGGGATTCAGCCTCCCTGATCCCAGGAGATGGGGGGCAGTGGGCTCAGAGCCCTCCAGGGAGAGCAGCTGGGGCTATTCCAGCATTGTCACCTGCTGGTTTTGGGAGCTGGCATGGAGCTGAGGCTACATCCAGACTGGAGCCTGGAAGGGCAAAGGCCAGGCTGTCCCAGGGAGGTGTGGTTAGAACATCATA